GGGGATTTTCTCGCCGTTGGGAGGTTCTTCCTGATCGAAACGAGCATCCAGAGCTATGGAGTCGACCATTTGGGGAGCTCTCTGGTCTTCCTCTTTGGCGGGCTGTAATTTGTCAGGATCTTGTCCTATCGTCGCCGAACTCTTGGCGGGCCTTGTCCTGGTGTCGATAGTGTCGCGTCCTTTAGATGCGGCGTTGAAACACCTTTGAGCAGCGGCTAGGTCCCCCTGGATGGTATCTACCTGTGCCCTCTTGGTGTAGAACTTCATCTTCAAGTGAACGGTGGAGGGTACCACAGTCAGTTCTGCCAGTGTTGGTCTCCCAAGGATGCAGTTGTAGAGGGACGGGCAGTCGATGATGAGGAAGCGTACTTTAACCTTCCTCGTTGTCGTGCCCTCTCCGAAGGTAACCATGAGCTCGACATATCCCCAAGGTTTGGAGGTAGAGTCATTGAAGCCCTGTAAGTCCGACCCCACGTACGGCGAGAGGTGCGAGTCGTCTAGCTGTAGAGTCCGGAATAATTGACTGTACATCACGTCGATGGAACTTCCTTCGTCGACGAGGATGCGGTGCACGTCAAAGTTAGCCATTCTTGCTCTTATCAGCAAGGGAATGACTGCGTTGGGGGCTCCTTCGTGGAGCTCTTCTAGGTAAAAGGTGATAGGCTCCGACCTACCTTTTACCCTTTCAAAGGTCACCATTTGCGGAGGTTCCGAGTCGACCAGTTCATCCATCTTTCTCTTGGCCGAATTGATAGTTAGGTCGTTGAATCCTCCATTGTTGATGACCATGGCGGAGGGGAAGTATTCTCACCTGCTGTGTGTCGTGAGCGGCTCCTGCAGGTGTTCGGGGACGTAGAAGTCCTCCGGTCTGGTGACGGAGAAGGCGGTCTGGACGGGGACCGACTTGTCAGATGGTCGGGCGTCTTCCTCTAGTTCTCTTGTCTCCCGGGCGTCACGACGGGGAGCATCGTTTCGCCGGTATTGGGCGAGCCTCCCTCCCTTGATGAGGGTTTCGATGGCGTCCTTGAGGTGGACGCAGTCTTAGTCAGATGACCATGGCTCCTATGGTACTGACAATATTTGCTCTTGTCTGCTCCGGGCTTGGCGGGGGCAGGTCGCGGGCGTTCGACGTTGCCGTCTTTAAAATCCGTGTTGGCACACTTCGCCAAAATGCGCTCGCAGGAAGCTGTGAGCGGAGTGTATTCGATAAAATGTCCCGAGGGTCCTCTTTGCTCTCGTACTTCTCGGGGTCTGTCCTCTTTTCTTTTCTCCCCGGCTCGTCGAGGAGGAGCGGCTTCCTGGCGCGGGTTACTGCTGGATCCGCGAGTTCTGAGGTCCCGGGCTCTGTTGGCCTCCTCCCTTTCCTCGTAATCCATATATGCCCGGGCTTTTTCGAGGAGGGCATCGAATGTTCGGGGCGGCTCGATGCCCACTTCCTTTCTGAATTCTATGCCGGGGAGGAGCCCCCTCTCCAGCAGGTACCTTTTCATGTGGTCCACGCAGGAGACCTGTACGGCTTCTCAATTGAAGCGATTAATAAATTCTCTCAAGGTCTCATCCTGTCTCTGGATGATGGCCTCGAGTGCTGCCTCGGTCTTTGGGTTTCGCCGAGACACAGTGAACGAACTTATGAATTGGTTCTTCAGGTTTCGCCACGATGTGATTGATCCCGGAGCGAGGCCTTTATACCAATCCATTGCTGCCTTTTTGAGGGTCGTGGGGAACAACTGGCATTTGATGGGTCCCCCGACATTGTGGTAGTGCAGCATAGCCTCGAACCCGTCTATGTGGTCGACCGAGTTCGCGACTCCGTCGTATTCCTTCAGATGTGGAGGCTTCTCCATGCCCGGGGGAATGGGCGCCTCCATGATGGCTTGTGACAGGGGACCGCGGGGGTCGTCCTCGTCACTTCGCTCCGGGGACAGGGATGGGGACCTGAAATATTGTCGTGCCCGACGGTCCTGGTCGTGCTGGGCATCTCTCGAGCGTATTGCTCGATGGTCAGTTCTTCCATGCCTATCTCCGGAGTGTCTTCTTTCTTGCCGTATGGGGCCTTGGTTGCGCCCCCCGGCCTCAGTGACGGGTTGCCTTTCCAAAGGGGGTCGTCTCCCCGAGGGTCGGGGAGACGGGCTTCGGGAGGCGTCTCTGTATTGTCTCTGCGGGGGAGACGAGAGATGTACCTCTGTTACTCGAGGAGGTGGAGTCTGGGGCCTCCTGTGTCTCCTCGCGGGTCTTCTATCGTCTTCTAGTGCCCTCAATCTTTCCCCCTGGGCAAAGATGAGGTAATTCATTTGATTAATCGCCGCGAATAGTGTGCAGGTTGTGGCATCTGCCCCAGCAGGGACAGGGACTTCCTAAAATTGGGCAGCTCGATAGTTTGTGGGAGCTGCGTTTTCTTCTTCGAGCGGCGGAGGGATTGAAGAAGATGAGGCAGTAGCTCCGTCGCGGTGGACTGAGGGCCCGGGGTTGGTGCCCCCGGGGAGTGTGTTATGATCGGGGTTACCGGTGCTGTCGGGGAATCCATTTTTATCTGCGAGGCTGTTGTTGGTGTCGACGATGCGGATGTTTTGGTCATCATGAACTTGGTCAGCCATGACGGTAGGGGGTGATTTTGAGCTTTGGTCTTCGAGGTTTTTCAAGACGGGAAAGCTAGTTTCCCACAGACGGCGCCACTGATCTTACCTGATCAGACTTGGACCGTCACGACTGGCTCCGAGCAGAAGTTGAGTGAGATGGGGGGGGGGGGGGGTACCTGCAAGGCAATCTGATGCTAAAGTGAGTGACGAAATGAGCAGGAAAAAAAGCGTATGTATGGGTAAGAGTTGAATACCTGACCCCCAAGGAACATAGGGTATTTATAGCCCTCAGCGCGGGGCCAAGGTCCCCTCATTGGGCCGACCAGGACTGGCCCAATAAAGGAACTGCCAGGTTCTACGTGTGTAGTGGGGACCCGCACGTGGTCTCTTTCCTAGTGATGCTCTGCGAGAAATGAGGAGGGAAGGAGACGCGGTCTTTCCAGAGTTCAGGTGATTTGGTAACGGTCAGAATCTTCTCTACGAGGAGGGTGCTCGAGTTGGGTTCGAGCTGGAGTTCCCGTGGTCAGGGACACCATGTGTCGCGGGCGATGGCGGACACGGCTGCAGTCTGTGGTTGGGCGCGCTGGCGGGAATCCCCGGGCGCGCACCCCTCGAGGAGTTGCTTGGATTGGGCCTTTGTTCCTGCTTTTGGGCCAGGGAGGGCCCAGTCCAGAACAAAAACTATATGTTTATTTCTAAGAAACTAACTAATTTAAATTAAATAAATTTAGCTAAGAAAATGAATAGAACTAAACTAAAGAGCACATAAAAAAGTGGGGTGTGAATTCAGGTCAGGGAGTATGATCAGAACCAGAGGCGCAAGGCCCAGTAAAATTGCAACTCAGACCCATCAAGTCTTTTGATATTATATTCCGATTATTAAAAAAAGAAAACAAGAAAATTAAAAGGAAGAAAATAATAATAATGATGAAACGACAACGTTTAGGGGTCTAGGGCTGAAAAGAAGTGACTATTGGCCTTTACTGGAAAACTCTCTTATTCTCGTGAGGCTCAGAAATATGGAGCTTTCTTCTCCGATATCTTTTCTATAGTGTCATCGCACAACCCTCAGGCCACCACAAGCGCAACCATGCTCGCTGTCCTTTCTACGATTCCACCTCACTTCGTCTCGCCACCATGTTCGTCTCAACTCCTTCGCTCACAACACTTTGCAGATTCTACCTTGTTCTCATTCAATCCTAGTCGCAAACTCCAAATCGGGTCCTAACACATCTAATAATCAAATTAAGTGATGACAATAACATTTATCGATCTGAAAACACACTATAATATGGATTATGAAGTGAGAAGATTGAAGAATGACAAGATTCGCTACTTACCGACGGGAGACACTCCGGTGGTTCTTCCTCGAAGGCTTAATCAAGCAAAGACTAGAGATCTTAAGGTAATGATTCATGTGTTCCTCGTTCTCTTCTACGAAATTACCTTTTCTTATACTTCATTCCTTCATCTTGTAATTCTTTCTACGCCCCTGTGTTGTTGTTTAGATTTCCGTGTGCGTTGTTGTTGTTGCTATTATTCACGTGATCCTGGGAGATAAACCGAACAATTTGCATTACAATAGGCCAGTTTGCTGCAAGTGTCTCAGAGGAAGAACAACCCTATTGACCTTCAAGTTTGGTGATAACTACTGGCTGTCCTTGCCTTTGTCCTGATAAGCTTCCCTCCCAGACCCTTATATATTTGGATTATGCAGAAGCTGTCTGTTGAGTGCAATTGTTATTTTCTGTTTTCACTTGCAGGTAGATGAAGCATGGTAGTTTGATGCGAGATTGATGTGTTACTTATGAGGCTTTACTGTGCAGGTTTTGAGGAGTTAGCAGAAGAATCTGAGAAGTTGATAATAGAGTTTTGGAACAGAAATAGGACTTTGCAAAAGGTATTTTTTGTATAAGATTCTGGTTTATTTTTCTCTTCTACTGTGAATTGGAGGGGAAACATTTTTGTGTGTTATGTTAACAGAAGTTGATGGTAGGATGCTTTTTTTTAGAGTATGAAGAGGTTTGAGATGCAGGGTCCGGTTGTGAGTAGAGTGAAGCTGAAATTTATGAAGTTCTTGCTAGGTGTTTGTGAGATTGAAGAATAACAATAAAATGATATTTTTTCTCTCTGTTTTTTTTGTGTTTGTATGTTGTTATCTCTTGTATTATTGTCCCTTTTCTCTGTCTTGGAACTATTTTATAGCTGAAAACAATATGAAATTTAAGAGGGAAATTCGATAAGCTGAGACTGTTTTTGGTTCACTTCTCCTTGCTTTCTTGATGAATTTTGGTGGTTTTCTAAGTTTATGTAATTCTTTGATAGCAAGGATAGGTTTGGGTCAGCATTTGATAAAGACTGGTGCAGCAGTTTTGGGGCAACAACAGGGCTGATTTTGGTCAGTTTTGACAGGAGCTTTTGGCATTATTGTGCAGTTTTTGGAAGCATTGCAGCAGGGCTGATTTTTGGACAAGGAAAGGTCACAATTTTGACTTTCTTTTGGCATTTGTGCAGCTTGGACTCTTTGGTAGCTCCTTGTTTTGACACCTTTAAACGAAAATTTGTATGACTGATGTAAACATGAGTCGCACACCTTTTTCGTGATCTTTTATGACTGACAGTATATGACACTGAAGACAAGCCATTTTTCATATGTTCCTTGATTAAATGTTGTTTTTGGTTGTTATCCACATTTCTGACCGAGTCTAATTCGACATATGATTTTTTGTGTTGTTGTTTCTGTGATTGTTTGGACATATTTAATCCCATTGCTAAACATAACTCAGAGTCGTGCAATGAAACTTTGTCGCAATATTCATGCTTAACCATCTCAGTCTCAAGCATGCTTTGAAGATTTATTAATGGACTACTACAATGAGATGCCACCAATAAATGTGCCTTCTCAGAATGTTTTTTCCAAATGGTTTCATTTAAAGAAGTAATTTTTGAAGCTTCTTCAGGTAAACAACCTTCATGGTAAAGACTTGCACCCTGGCCGGATATTGGGGTTTCGAGAGCAGCATTAACATTCTCTTTCTTGTCCTGCAAAACTGAGGAGTTCTCTATCAAAGATTCTCCATATAATTTCTTACCAACATGATTGGATCCACTGTGAGGGAACATTTCAGCCAAAGCATATAGAGTCTCATTAGTGGTAGATTCCCACAAATCAAAAGTTAAAGCTATCCTATTCGGAACGATAACCAATTCATGTTTAAGCTTTTGTTTCTCTTTCATGTATAATTCTTAGACATAAGCCTTATTAACATTTCTAGGAGGCTGTTGTACCTCAAAATTTGCCCTCTCTTTTTCAAGATATTCCTCACAAAGGATCTCCAATGCTCAAGGATTCTCAAGAATTGATCAGACAAAATCACCTCTGAAACACTGAGACCACAAATTAGGGTTTTGACTAAGAACGACTGATCATTGACTTATTGACCTAATACAGAACCTAATGGCTTGAAGTATAATCTCAAAAACTCAAACATAACATGTTGACCCAATTCCATGGCTTAAATCATTTCTCAAGATCAGTGGATTGATAGTTGAAATTTGGTCAATTGTTAAAAAGTCAACTGATACACCAAAAGTCAAACTTTGACTTTTTGGTCAACATTAAATTTCAAAGATCACAATTCATCAAGACATTCAAAAATATGAAGCTTGATCATCAAGAAACCAAGAAGGTCAAAAGTCAATGTGAAAATTCAAACTTTTCAAGACTTATAAGTTTTTCTAAGTGTTTTTTATACATGATAATTTCACTACTTCATGCCACTCTTTTGCCAAGATGCAAGATGATTCAAAGAAAACTTTCAACATGAAAGTTTTAGATCTTGATGATATCTAAAACTTTGCTTTGCTTATCAAGTCCTATAAGTGCTTGGATTTGGAGTTATAAATTCATGAAGTCCGGGCATTTTCATTTAACACTTAGAGAAATTTTTAACAAATTTTGGTCAGGATTTTATTCCAACTTCTTGGCATTTTTTCACATAGTTCCAAGATGATTTTGTCAAAATGACCAACATTAATTTTTAGAGGATGTTTCAAGCTTTCCAAAACATCCAAGAGCATGAAGTTATCATACTTGAGCTAGGAGATTCAAGGGCCTGAAGTTGGGCATCCATTCTTGAATTGCAAGTCATTTTGTTGAAGAACAAATAATCCAATTTGCATGATGTGCTGCATAATATTACTTTGCAGGCCTTGTTACTTGCAAAATCTATCCATAATCAGATGTTTACATAATTGATTGAACCATTATCCAAGTGATTCAAGTATTGTCTATTGCATCATGCCATTTATGGCACAAAGGCACCATTGTCATTCACATAAAGCATGCTTTATACAAAGTCAGCTCTCCTTGAGCCTCTCAACTGTTTTTTCTGCACACACAATGTCAAAGCAAGAAGCAACATGCCTAGAAGCTCCTAGCAACTTTAGACCATGCTTGTACCATGCATTGGAACACCAATTTTCATAATAACTTGGTTGTTTCATCTAAACTAAACCAGAATTTAGACAACTTGTAAAACAAACTCTCTCATTCTCTCAAACCTCCTCTATAAATAGAGAGGCCATTTGCAAGCTAAATGGGCCAGAAGTTTTTGTTGTGTAGACAAACCCTCAAAATCTCATACTCTCAAAAAGCCATAACTGTCTACAAAACCTCCACTCTTGAGCTTTGAAGTCCAAGTCTTTGAACCTCTCACACCTTGCAAGTTCTTTCTAAACAAACCATCCAAACACTCCACATACATCATATAGAAGTTGTTAAAACTCAAGAGCAACTTCTGTAATATCACTATTTTCCAAACTCAAAAAACAGCCACCTCCAACTTGACTTATCCAAGATAATACAACAACTCAAACTCAAAGCACAAATTTCAGTTTCAAGGTAAGTTTTCTTAACTTTGGACTCTTCATACAAGCATCATTAGTGGTCCATTTGTGAAGATAAAATGTAAATATTATTGCCCTTGAAGCTAACCATATGCTTTCTTTTCATTTTCACTGACCATGTGTTAAGAATTGACTCATATATGCAGCAGAACAATGTTAGAGGCAAAAACAACAATATGAGTCGATACAAAACACTATGAGTCGACACATATTATGTCCGAAATAGGTTATGAGCCAATGAAAACCATTATACGTCAATACGAAATGCGAATGCGTAGACTCATACTGAGTTAATTTTCATTTTCTAGGAGCAAGAAATGATATGTGTCGATGCATAAGTGTATGTGTCGATACGAAACAGATATGAGCCGATACGAAACAAATATGAGCCAATACGAAACAAATATGTGCCAATAAGAAACAAATATGAGCCAATACAAAACATATATGAGCCAATACGAAACAGATATGAGCCAATGCGTAAAAAAAATTTGTATCAATGCATAAGCTCATGGGTCAATACATAAAAATAGTCATGTCCCTCGAACGTGGGATGCTTTAGAAAAGACCCTCAAATAAAAGATCGTAGTCCCTAGATGACCCTTCGATGTTGCCTTCGTAAATGATCTTAGTCCCTTACGACAAATTGCTAAGGTTTCCTACAATGTTGCCTTGTATGACTATACGATAACCCACACCCGTCCCTTCACATCCAATGATAGGGATTCTTATCAATCAATGGTAAGATAAAAATATCTAAAGGAGGAGGAAAAAAACTAAGACTTTTTGAGTAGATATAACGTTCATAGTTGCTTGCTCACAACCATTTTCAAAACATCTTTCAAATACACTAACACTTTCAAATGAAATATTTTCAAAAGTCAACACTTTGTATACATTCTTATAAAGACGAGAATCATTACAAAGTTCGCCTAAACGAAAGCACTTTTCAAAAATACTTTCAAAAATAAATCACAAACATATTTCAAACAAAGTATTTCAAAGTGAGCTAACAACTAAGAGCCCGTAGATAACTACGGATGAAAAGGGTGTTAACACCTTCCCTTTTCATAACCTACCCCCCGAACTCAAGAAAATTCTCAAAAGGTCTTTCTTGTTCTTTTCACCCTTTCCTTTATTGGATAAAAGAAAAGTCGATGGAAATTCTTGCTATCCGCAACAATTACAATAATACGCAAAACACCCAAGTCAGTTCTCCCACCGTATTACAAAGGCATAACAATATTTGGCTTCAAGTACTGGTAGAGATTCTTAAGTGCTTCTAACTCAAAATGATGAAAGGGAAAATCATGTGCAAGGATGACAGAAGAACATAAATGCACTAGCAGTAGGGGTGTGCAAAAAAACTGGTTTACACGAACCAATTTTAAAAATTCAGTGCACCAATTTTTATAATCCAATTTGTGTTGGATGTGAACCGCTCCAGATCCATTTTGATATCAAAACAAAAATCTGGTTTCCATTTTTGATAACCAGTTGTCATACATAAAACCAAATGTATATGATATTATTATTAATGAATAAGATATTATTAAGGCACAGGAAATTCAAATTCATGTAAACTAATTTATATAATATTCAAATTGAAAATGGAAAACTAGTTTATATATGTTATTTTATTTATTATTAATTAGTTAATTAGAGTGGTGATTAGTCAAGGGAAGAAGAACTTATTAAGTTAATTGTGATGAACGATTATTAATCTGTGTTTTTTTGTTTAACTGTTATAGTGTAGCAATTGTTTTGAAGCAGACTTTGTCTTGGTTTTAGGATGTTTTGTTTTAGTTTTTTTGGGTTCTAGTTTTAGTGTTCTGGTGCAACTTTATCATAGATTAAAGTGTAATGTTTTTACTCTTAAATTGAATTTTACTTTTTTTCTTTTCAAAAAAATTGTGAAAAACAATTTGTGCTGGTGTTTGAATATAATAGTATAAAAATGACACATCCCTTTGCATCTTGTTCCCTTCATTAACCTGAATTTTTTCGTCTCTTCAAATTAAGAAAGATACAATTTCCTTATAAATCAATTTTGATTGAAAACCGGTTTAAACCAGTTTTGAACCGAATTGAAACCATTTTTTAATTTTAAATTGGTTATTATAAAAAATGGTTTAATTTTAAAACTACAACCATTAAAATAGATTGGTTCTTAAAATTTGGTAACCATGCACACCCCTAACTAGTAGTGGTTCCATTTGATTTTCATCAACTACCTCACCAACAAATTCTGTATTTTCTTGTGACATTTCTTCAAACACCGTTGGGAAACGAGATGGCAGAGACCCAAACAAAGCGATGGATGAAATGAAGAAGAGAAAGTGAGAAGAAGCATTATCACCAATGAGTTTATTTCTCTGTCGTCGTTTGTTGGCTCCACGCCTTAGTTTTTGGGTTTTGTAATCCTTTAAAGGTCAATCTTGAAATATCAAGAGAAGACTCCTAATATTTAGAATTGATTCCAATTAAAATTTGTATCGAAAGTTGTCTTTGAATTCGAAACACATGAATGATGAATGAAGTTGAATTTTTTAGAAAGGTCTTGAATAATTCTTCTTTGTAATTTGGATGAAATTGAATCAAACTTGAATGGTGAATCATTGAATTAGAAATTTATCCTTGAATGAATTTGAGACTTCTTGAATGAATTTTGAATGATGAATGAACATCTTGTATTTGCTTCTAGAATTCCAAATAAATTACATGAATTGATCTTCAAAATTGAGCAAACTGGTATCACGAGAAATTAGTTCTTTTGTATATCTTGAATCCAAAAGAAATTCACATGGATGAATTGTGCCTTGCACACTTGAATCAATTTAAAATCAAACATAATTATTCAAATTTATCCTCAAATCTTCTTCTTTAAAACCCATGTCGTCAATTCATGGTAACTTGCAATACGAGCCAATAATATAAATCGTGCCTTTAAGAGATTTAATAAACAACCCATCTTAATCGAATGATCGTTAATGTTCAATTGCAAATAACTTGAAGCAGGAGACAAGCAATCAATGAATCATGGAACTAGAACTCTGGATTCATGAATTATCCTAATATAGGAATCAAACGCCCTTTGAGAAAACTTATTTGGCATAAATTGAACCAAACACAATTTGACCTCGATCTTTGAAGTAATCTCTATTTGTGATACTTCACAAAAAGAATCGTCTTAGGACGTTGAGAATTGAAGAAGTTATGATCGTTTAAAATTGACCTTGCAAAAAGTTGACTTTTGGTCGAAGTGCTTTAAATCATCTCACATAGCCTGATCTTTTCTTGCATTCTAAGACGCATTGAAGCACATGTGA